TATCAGTAAGTATCAGACGTCCCTAGGGCAGAAATGCTAAGAAAGACATGACACAATACAAATGAGGTCATGAAACATGGGACTTCCCGCATGAACGTACTAGCTGTTTGTAATCCTGCCACGTTTGCCACATGGCCTATGAACACAGGACTCTGATATTTCCAGTTTGTGCAATTCCTGTTAGAAGAAAAAATATGCCGTGCATTTCTAATTGCATGTGCTGCACTGCCCGGTATATTTCTGATGGCCAAGAACATCTGTTTTAACTAGTTTTTGGTGAGAACCAAATCCTCTGCTTATAGTTTAATATGTCTGATGATTGAGAACATTATTTGTAGACTAGCTTCTGGCTCTATAGGTTTCAAGTCTTATTCCCCACCCACTATGTACTGACTCTCGATGCTGGGCCCTAAATATGATATATGGTCTTGCACCATCATGTCACAATGCAGGATGAGTCAGCAGGGGCCAGTGAGAGTATTCCTGGAAGAATCCCCACACTGAGATGGGCAGCAGTGACCTTACTATAGATGAAAGCTACTGTGAACCACATAAATGGACCCTTCTTGTCTCAGTCTTTTTGGGCTGCTATAACAAACTACCATAGACTGGGTGGCTTAATCAAAAGAATAAACATTTGTTTCTGACCATTCTGGAGGCTGGGCAGTCCAAGGTTCAGGTGCTAACAGACTCTACATCTGGTGAGACACCCTGATTCCTGGTTTATAGACACCTCTTCTTGCTGTCCTCATTTGGTGGAAGGAGCAAGGGAGCTCTGCAGGGTCTCCTTTATAAGGACACTAATCTCATTCATGAGGACTCCACCCTCATGGCCTAATCACCTCCCAAAGGCCCCCTCCTAATACCATCACATTGGGGGTTAGGATTTCAACATACAAATTGGGGGGGAGGGGCACAAATATTCGGTCCAAAACATCTCAACCAAAATTAAATGTACACCTAACTCAACTCCGCCTTAGCTGTGTGAAAATTACTAATAGGGAACCTTACTTAAATGGAGTGGGGAGGTTTTGGCAGAGGGAACTTTCATGCCCTACTACTCTTAGTCAGTTACAGACCCAGTAGGAAGAGCCAGAGTTGACCTTTCATGATCTTGACCTTTCATGAACTTGACCTTGGATGTGGATACTACTCTTCCATTCCAGCTGGAGGAAGAGATGTTTTCCTTATCCCTCCAGCAACAGCTCAGTCAATAAAAAAATCACCATACTTCAAACTCTCATTTACTCCAATGGACTTTTAATTCATAAAAGCCTTTCCAATCTATCCCCTTTCCCCTTAAAAAAAAAAAAAATCGTGCCTCTCACCTGTTTCCCCGACATGCCTGCAGGTCTGCAGCGGTTTATTTATTCTAGATTGCAATTCTCTTTTATTCCTAAATAAAACCCATCTTTGGTGAGGTAAAACTGGCAGTTTTTATTTGTAAGGTAAAAGCTACATCGTTCAAGACTCCCTGCCACCATGGTGTGATGGATGGAGAACTGGGATGGAAGGAGACATCAATCTTAAAGGATTATAGTTAAATATCTTACTTCTGCAATGTTTACAAAGACGTGTGCCCAGATGAACACATTGCTATGTTTTGTCCAGGGCCTTGGAGGGCTCTGAATCTGAAGATTCACTGTGGTCAAGATAAATCCACCCACCTGAAATGAAGCTATAATAATAAGTAAGGGAGAGACTATGCAGGACCCTGCACTTATTAGGAGGGAGTTTGGATTTTATTCTAAGAGCAACAGGAAAATGTAAAGGGCTTTAAGGGAGGAAGACAGAGGGTAAAGTGATTTGATTTATACTTTCTTTTTTTCTTTTTAAAGGTTTTATTTATTTATTCACGAGAGACACACAGAAAGAGGCAGAGATATAGGCGGCAGGATAAGTAGGCTCCCCATGGGGAGCCTGATGTGGGACTTGATCCCAGGACCCCAGGATCATGATTTGAGCCACCCAGCTGCCCCGATTTATATTTTTCAAAGACTACTCTGGCTTTGGTGTGGACAGTGGGCTTAAGGGGCAAGTGATAGGACGGAAACTGCTGAGGAGGCTGGTGGGCCTTCTCCAGGAGACAGGTGGCTTAGATGAGGGTGGGCTGGGTAGAGGTGGTGAGAAGTGATAGCATAAGGTGAGTGGTGGGTGTGCTGAGGGACTGATATTAAGTGCACGTGCGGTGGGCATCAAGAGTGTCTCCCAGGCAGCCTGGGTGGCTCAGCAGTTTAGCTCCTGCCTTCAGCCCAGGGCCTGATCCTGGAGACCAGGATCAAGTCCCACGTCAGGCTCCCTGCGTGGAGCCTGCTTCTCCCTCTGCCTGTGTCTCTGCCTCTGTGTGTGTCTTTCATGAATAAATAAATGGAATAGAGATTTATTTATTCATGAGAGACACAGAGAGAGAGGCAGAGACACAGGCAGAGGGAGAAGCAGGCTCCCTGAGAGGGACCCTGATGTGGAACTCCATCCCAGGACTCCAGACTGCGACCTGAGCCACCCAGGCGCCCGGCACAGGTACTTTTATTAGCACCATTTCCATTCCACAAATGAGAAAACCTGGGGTTCAGGCGATCAAGTAACTTCTCTAGGGAACCCCCTAGGTACTAAGTGGAAGAGAAGAGGGGCCGTCCTAGGATGTTCAGAGACCAGGCAGAGGGGTCAGACCACCCTTCACAGTTGCTCTGTGGGGCCCGGCCCCGCCCCTGTCATCCTCCCTGTAGGGTCCATGCCCCCCTCCCCCGCCCGCCACGCGCTGCTTAAGTCCCAGGTTAGAGCTCGGACAGTGCAAGCACCCAGCCCCGCCCCGGCGCGCCCCGCCTCCGTCCCGGCCCCGCCCCTCGCCCTGCTGCCCCGCCCCCGCCCCGCCCCCGCCCCGCCCCATTCCCGGCCGCCCCGCCCCTCGCCCCGCCGCGCCCCCCCTGACGCCGGGCAGCCCCGGGAAGGCTCGACGCGCGGACCCCGGCACCTCGTCCTCCGAGCCCCTGCTCCCGCACGCCTCTCTTCAGGCCCGGCTCCGAAAGTAGGGCGCAGCCTGAGGGGCTGGGCGCAACCCGGGGGCTGAGGCGGGCTGAGTGATGGGGCCGCGGCCGCCGGCACCCCGACTCGCGCGCCGCCAGCTCCTCAGCGGCGCGAGCCCTGCGGACGGCGCCTGAGGGAGGAACGCCGCCTCCCTGAGCCCCCCCGGGCTGGAGGCGCCACCCGGCGCCCCCTCCCCGCGCGGGAGGAACGGGCGCCTGCGGCCGCCTCGCCGGCCTCCGGGGGCCCCTGGGCAGCCGGCCTTGACGTCTGAGGGGGAGTCGTTTGTGGAGGGAGCGCCCTGGCGTCCCTGCCCTCCGCGCTCGCGCCTTTGCCTCACCTCTTGGGCGCCCCCACCCCGCCTCCAGCGCCTCCCCCTCCGCGCCGCTCACCGGGTTCTCCTCCGCTGAAGGAGCGCCCGGGCTCTCCCCACGCCCCTGCCCCAGAGCCGCCCGCCCCTCCGCTTGGCGCCGCTCCCCCGCTCCCCTCCCCCTCCTCCTCCTGCCCCCTCCTCCCCCTCCCCCCCCCTCCCCCTCCCCCTCCTCCCTCCCCCTCCCCTCCTCCCTCCCCCTCCTCCTCCTGCCCCCTCCTCCCCCTCCCAGGCTCCCGGTTCCTGTTTCTCCTCAGCCTCTCCGCTTTGCGCGAAGCCAGGCCAATCTAGAAATAACCCCGCGGGACTTTGGGGTTTTTTTTGGGTGAGGGGGGACGGTGGGGGGGGGGGTTGGAGAGTGCAATATGTGCTCGGGAAAATCCGTGTCTCAGGAAAATTAAATCGCAGGGTTGTTTTTATTCCTTAGAATACGTCAATGACCATATACCTGGGAGCGATCCTGTAAGATAAATTGGAATTTATTCCAAGACCGAACGTACAACAGACAAGAAGTGGACCCAAGGCAAGGCACAGGCAGGCCATAAACATTAAAATCTCCAGCTCTCTCACTGGGGAATATGGTTCGGTAGATGCCTAAGTTTTAATTTTGGGGCACAGTGATTTGGTTTTTGGGGAGGAAATGGGCGTTGGTCAAAGTTCACCTCAGTTTTGAATTCTGTGGCTGATTTTGTTTTTGTGTTCATTTTGGCTCGACTTTCTCTTCTGATCAGAACTTTAAGTAGAAAAGCAAAAAAGGCTTTTATAGGGGCAGCTTAAGATTACTTTATGTGGGCAATAACTTGATTCTTCTCTAGAAGCCAAAGTATTATTCCTTTACTTAAAGTGGAGTCTTACGATATCTCGAGGATAGTACAATAGGTAGAAACGTGCATAAATTGTTTTTCTTCTAAGTTAAGGTTTTCTTTCACCATTCTTATTTGAGAACATTTAAATTTGATTCCAGTTTCCTTTCTTTGTGTTTTTCCTGCACTTTCTTGTTTTCTTCATCTTTCCACTTTATAATCCTTTGGAGTTCATTTTTTTAACTCCAAAGATTAATCCATTGTTGAATGGATTATGAAACCAGATCATCTTGAAGAAAAGAAGGAAATTCAACACTTAGTTACAAGTCAATAATCCAACATGTCTCAAATTCCTAAATTTTAGAAAAGAGGGGACATGTGTTCACTTTTCTTAGTTTGGTCCACCTTTTCCTGTTTTGTTTTTTGTTCCCTGTTTCCATCTCCTATTTTTCACAGGCTTTCTCTTCTATTTATTTGACCGTGTTAGTAAGAGAACTCAAATCCTTTGCTGGGTAAAATAAGTAGAATGTAAGAAGCCATCAGTGATCAGAATACATATAAACTGGTTGTGGTTCACAATCAAATAGAGCTCTCATTAGTTTATAATTTCATATTTTAAATGATGTTTCTTCTTTAAAGAAAATAATTTGAAGGATGCCTTGAACAATCTGAGTGTTATTTTATAGAATTAATGAAAAAAAGTGTTTTTACTGTGAAACAGCATGGAAATATTTTTGTGATCAAATTTTAAATATCTTTTAATGTTCCCTCTAGTTTGTTAAATACAGCTAAGGAAAACAGGCAACATGTTCTACACACATGTGCTTATGAGTAAGCGAGGGCCATTGGCCAAAATCTGGCTTGCAGCTCACTGGGAGAAGAAACTCACAAAGGCTCATGTATTTGAATGTAATCTAGAGATAACCATTGAAAAAATTATTTCACCTAAGGTATGTTATTGGTTAAAATTACAGTATGTATTTGGCATGACTTATGAAGAAGAAAGGAACTGAATTATGTTAGTATCACAAAATACATTTCCAAGGAAGTTTCACTTTCTACAATGGTCTTCTTTCTTTTAATTCCCATAACATTTAGTACCTGAGAATAAACATTATCAGTTTCTGTTGGTAATTAACTGTTTCATATGTTTATCATGAACAGATTGGACCCTGAAGGAGAAAGGTCATGTTTTATACATGCTTTGTAATCTTTTCTTATTCTCTTAATAAAATACCATGTATGTAGTAGGTACCAAATAAGTACTTAGAAAAATAGTGAGTACATGAATATGGAGAGAAGAAAAAAAAGGCTTGAGTATAAATCAAAATATGTATGTAAACACTTCACAAAGTACTATGTTCATTATAAGACACTAATAAAGTATTAGAACTTGCATTAAAATATTTTAATATTTTTTTAGGTTAAGTATTTTTATGTTTGAAAGAAGGATAAATTATAATTGAAAACCTTCCATTTGTCAGGCACTGGGCTAGGCTTTATGTTCATTAGATTATTTAATCTTCACAACAACTCAATGAGATGGGCTTCTTTTAACCCCAGTGATGTGTAATAGTTAAGAGCATGAACTTTTGAATTAATCTAATTTAATTCCTTCTCCATTAGCAGTTGTGTTATTTTGGGCATGCTACTTACCATTTCTGAGTCTGTTTTTTCCTTCTGTAAATACAAGTTGTTAAAATTAAATAATATATGAAGAGCTGTTAGGATAATGGCTGGCACAAAATAAGTATATAATAAGTTGTAGCCATTATTAATAAACTGAAGTTCCAGAAGGTTGAATGGCAGCCTTAGCAACTGAGCCAGGGCTTGCACCTGAGTCGGCCTGACTGCAGAGTTTATAGTCTTCCCATAAAACCAATAATAACTATATTTCACTTAAATGGTACATGAGATTATCTTCATTGAATAAGAACAAAAGTTAATCATTTTACAAGATGAGGTAAAAGTTAAATAATTCACTTTAAATAAGAATAAGCAAAATGTCTGCTTTTTAAAGAGAAGAAATTCTATGATTTTATAATTTTCAAACAGGGTTTATGAGTCTAATTCTTAACATTCTAATACTTTAAAAATTATTGAAAGGTGAAAATTGCACTTCGAACTTCAGGACACCTTCTTTTGGGAGTTGTGCGAATTTATAATAGGAAGGCAAAATATCTTTTGGCAGATTGCAGTGAAGCATTGCTTAAAATGAAGATGACATTTCGCCCAGGTATACTTGCAATGTTGATTGGTCTCACTTATTTTGGTTCCCTTTTGTATTTTTATTTTGAGTGAGCTCTTTTCATTGGTGGCACTCTGTAATTCCAGGATATATAGTAAATATAAACTTCCTTTTTACTGATTCTAAGTTTCTGTGGTTAAGGACAAGTTATATTTTTTCCCTTGTGCTCTTCCTATGTTTGCAGGGAAAGGTTATGTTTTCAAAAACTTGTAATACTCCTGCATATTTACTTAAGAAATATACATAAAGCTACCATACCAGAGTAAGAAACTCTGATACTCAGGGTTTTTTTAAAGATTTTATTTATTTGTTGAAGAGAGACATACAGAGAGAGGCAGAGACACAGGCAGAGGGAGAAGTAGGCTCCTTGCAAGGAGCCGGATGCAGGACTCAATACCGGGATCACGCCCTGAGCCAAAGGCAGACGTTCAAATGCTGAGCCACCCAGGCATCCCCTGATACTCAATTTTAATGGCTTGCTTAGTTTGCTGTATCTGTTTTTGCCTTTATGAGATGAATTAGAAATAGTGTAATTGACAAAACCCAGATATCATAATTGTCATTGTTTTCAGAATTCTCAGGATGCTAAGCAGCATTCTATTATGAAATATCATAGAAAATCTCTAGGCATTCCAAAGTGCTAGAGATTTACATGTGTCATAAATATAATGCCTTTTAGTTTTAATTTAATTTTAAGACATTCATCATTTCTACCTTGTATTTTGGTTATTTAGGTACAGGCCTTGCCTGTCACACCAGTTTGCAAGCCCCTTGAAGGCAACATCTTTGTTGTATTTATTTCCTGAATCTCTATACAACTTGTCTCAACGCCTTGAACATACTCTTCCCTCAATATTTGTTGAATCAGGGTTGACAGGGTTTTGTTCTTTATTTAAAATATTTGTAGAATCTCTACATAGGGTTTATACTCAATCAAATATGGTTCGTTTGCTCATTATTTTATTTATATAATCCACAGATATTTGTTTATCCCGTACTCTGTGCCAAACACTATTTTAAGCTCTGGGATACAAGGACAAACAAGGCAAATAAGGTCTCTTTGGTGAGGAAATCAGATAATGACAATTTTTTAAAAATTATTATAACAATTATAGATTGCAATTTTGCTATGCAGAAATATAAACAGAATGCTCCATCAAAAAATAACAGGAAACTACTTGAGTTAGGCTGATTGGGAAAAGCCTTTCAGAGAGGATATAATTTATTTATTTATTTTAAAAGATTTTATTTATTTATTGATGAGACACACACACACACACACACACACCACACACACACACACACAGGCAGAAACACAGGCAAAGGGAAAAGCAGGCTCCATGCAGGGAGCCCAATGTGGGACTCAATCCCGGGACTCCGGGATCACACCGAAGGCAGCTGCTTAACCACTGAACCACCCAGGCATCCCAAGAGAGGATAGAATTTAAGGTCAAACTTGACGAATGAGAAGTACTTAGCCACGTAAAACATCCCTGAGGGAATAGCATTCCAGGCAGAGGGAATAGTGAGAGCAAAGGTCTTGAGGAAGAAAAGTGTTTGACTTGTCAAGGGAACAAAAAGACCAGTATAGTTGGAGTCTAGAGAATGAGGGAGAGATGATGCTGATAGGTTTGTAGGGCTGCAGAGGCCCTGATTAGAAGTTTGGATTTTATTTAAATGCACTGGGGAAGTCACTGAATCATTTTAAGCATGAGAGCAAGCTGATCTGATTGCTTTTTAAATATTTTTAATATCACTCTGGCTGTTTGTAGAGTATGGACTGAAGAAAAGCAGGAGTTGGGAGTTTTTTATATAGCATTATTGCTCATTGAATGTGGTTTTTTATTTTTTCAGGACTGGTGGACCTTCCAAAAGAGAATTTTGAAGCTGCTTACAGTGCTATCACATTGCCAGAAGAATTTCATGATTTTGACACCCACAATGTGAAGTAAATTTTTTTATTTTCCTTCAATTTGATTTTCTTTTTTAAAAAAATTTTATTTATTTATTTATTTATTTATTTATTTATTTATTTATTTTTATTGTAAAGATTTTATTTATTCATGAGAGACACACACACACAGAGAGAGAGAGAGAGAGAGAGAGAGAGAGAGAGAAACACAGGCAGAGGAAGAAGCAGGCTCCTCCATGCAGGGAGTCTGACATGGGACTGGATCCTAGGTCCCAAGGATCAGGCCCTGGGCTGAAGGCGGTGCTAAACCGCTGAGCCACCAGGGCTGCCCTCAATTTGATTTTCTTGATATTGTATTGTTTTCATCTTCATATTTCATGTACACAAGTGGAATCTAGTTAACACATGAAATACACATGCAGTTGATGAAGACTTAAATTTGGTGTGAAATTTTGAAATACAATGCAAAAATGTATCATTATATTTGCTGCATGTAGTTTGCAGTATTAACAGTATGTCCATTCATTCAGTAAATATTTATTGGGTGCTTTCTATATACCAGGCACTACTCTAAGCACCAAGGAGATAGCAATGAACAACAGCTCCTATCTGCATGAATCTTATAGTTTAAACAGATCATAAACAAATAAATACACAATATGCCAGGAAATGATCAGCAAAAATATGAAAAGAAATAGAACATAAAGTAAATGAATGACAGGATAGTTAGGAAAGGCTTTTCTAATAAGGTCAGAGCTGAAATCTGAAGGAGGTGTGGGAATAAATCATTCAGTAATGTGAGGAAGAATGTTCCCGGTAGAGCAAGTGGGAAGGCCCTAGGGCAGAACACATTGGACGGGTTCAGGGAACAACAAGGAGGCAAGTAAGACTGAAGTGCTGTAAATGAGCGTCTGAGTCATAGGAGACTAGGTCAGAGAGGTAGCTGGGGGTGCAAATGATGTAGGGTGTTGTAGGCCACAATAAGAATTTTTATTTTACTCAGATGGGGGCATAGGGGGGTTTTGAATAGAAGAGTGACTGGATCTGACTTGATTTTAACATGCTCCTTCAGGCTACTTACTACAAGGGGGAAGGGGCAGAAGCAGAGAGCCAATGAAAAGGTTATTGCAGTAAGAAGTCCAGATGACTCCCCCCCCACACACACGTATACAACACATAGCCCAAGTTCTCTGCCCTCAGAGGCTGCAAGGGAAACTCCCCCTCAACACTTACAGGTAGAGCCCAGCACTGAGAGGGTCTCCCTTCCCATACCAGGCTACATTCCCCCCTACCCCCCACACACACCCCCTGCCCAATAATCTGGAGTGAAAGCCCAGGGGAATGGGGAGAAGAGGGCATTGGTGGTTGAAAAGAGTTAATGCCTTGGATGGAGGATGCCAGGACTTATAACTGGGACTGACAGCCCTGTCCTGTCTGTGGGAACCTCAGGGTTCAACTGAGGGCACACACTCTCCCCACCAGCAGCCCACAAATGTGGGGTAAGGATGCCTGGCCTCTGTGTCCTAGAAGGGACCCTCCTGTGGTCTTTGTCTTGATCTTCCTTAATGAGGGTATTATCCCCTCAAAAAAAAAAAAGTCCAAGTGAGAAATGACAATGTCTGTGATTACTTCTCAGCCTTCATGTTATCAAGGAGGTAGCAGTCAAAATTATGAGTATATTTTGAAGACAGAGCCAACAGGATTTGCTGAAGAGTTGGAAATGGCTTTAAGGGAAACAAGAAGTGAAGGATGACTATGATTTGGATATGAGAATGGAGTTAGTCACCTAATGAGATGAGGATAACTAGAGAATGGCAAGTCTAAGAGGGGCAGGGTAAAGGCTTAATTCGGCTTTAGACATAAGTTTTGAGATGACTGTTGCATATCCAAGGGGAGTAGGCAGATAGTGGAATATCTGGGTCTGAAATTCAGGAAAGCAGTCTGGATTAGGATCTAAATTTGAGAGTTGTGAGTATATAGGTGGAACTTCAACTGTGAGTCATAAAACCCCTAGAGAGTGAGTGTAATTTTTTAAAAAGAGATCTGAGAACAGAGTTGTTGGGTTATTCCTAGTAGCTAATAGTCTGAGAGACTTGAGGAAGAACTAATAAAGGAGATGGAAAAAGAGCAGCCAATGAGGTAGGAAAAAAATCAAGAGAAAGTAGACCAAGAGAAGACTGGGTTCCATTAGGGAATGAACATCTGTTTCAAATGTGGTTGGTTAGTGTAAGTAGGATAAGGACTGAGAATCAACCATTTGGATTTGACAACCTGGAGATCACTTGTATAGAAGCATGTATGGTACGTTAGTGTTTATAAATAATACTATTGAGGAAAAAAGTATTTTTATAATAAAAACTGTTTTTTGTTTTAGGGATTTGTGTGGTTTTTTTTCCAGTATACCACAAAATCCTTGAATTCTCTTCACATGTTTTTCTCAATCTTCTGTTTCTCCATAGTGCTATTGACGTTTCAGAACAGTTTACTCACAACCAAAGCAGACCGGAAGAAATCACACTTAGAGAAGATTATGGTAATGATCTACTTTTCCAAGCTGGGAGCTTTGGTGAGAATATTTGAGAAATTAAAGCTACAAGCTATATATCAATCATATTATATTTGCATTTTTATACTGAAACAACGTCAATAGAAATAGCTATTTCTATGCCAATAGAAATATCTTTAGAATGAATCTCTTGTGTAAATGCAACTCTCCTTAAGTTTGCCTTTATCTTTTTCTAAATAGGTGTCAATGCCAAGACTCAGTCTTAGGCTATAAACTTCCCTTAGTGTACAATTATTTATTGAATACAAACTATATGTTAGGTGTTGTCGTAGGCATAGGCAGTACAAAGTTTGCAGAATCCTTTCCTGAAGGAGATTCAGGCAGGGAGATAGACATGCAAATAAACATTTGCTATAGTAACATATATATATATAAGGTTTTACATATGTGCTGCATATACTGCCTTCAAAATATGATAATTCCTCCAGTATATGATGATATCAATTGTAAAATAACATTTTAACATGGCTTGAGACTGCGGAGAAATATCACATGCTGAATACTTACTCATTGATTGTGAAACAGAAACTGTTGAGTGTATTTTAGAATTGAGCCATATAGTATTTTTTTTTTCTGGCATTTACCTGTCTTGTGCCATGATATTATGTATATCCTGTGTTGCTCTGAAAACTCCATGATGATAAGATCTGTGTCATATTCATCTTTGACTCTCATATAGTGCCTGAAGCAGCATAGGAGAAGGATGACCTAAATCTGTGTTCAGTGAGGGTGGGTGGTCAAGGCAGTAATGCTTGAACTATATCTCTAACCTCCATTTCTCATCCTTACTCTCCCTCCATAACTCTCATGATCTATAGCTGTGTTCTTAAATGATCTGTGGGGACAGGACAAGTTGTATAACTTTTGTTAATTTCCAGTCTGTCATGGAATAATACTTTTGCAAAACATTTAAAAATTGATTACTAGAAACATTAAAAGTTTAAAATCAAAATATATGCTTCAATTTTTGTTATTGAATTCAACATATATAAAATTACTCTGTGAAATTGCTATAAAATAATCTAAATATTTACCTCTAATTTGTGTATTTACTCTGTCACAGTAAAGCACCAACCCACAGACCATACTTTGAGGTGTTTGGATTTCTTACTGCCTATAACCCCAAGCCTTAAAATGTAATACAGTGGCAATTTTAATCTTATCTCCTACTGCCAAGATACTCTTTACACATTTCCCTGTAAATGCTATTATTCTTCTTTAGGCCTGAAACTTTGGGATCACTTAAAAATTTTTTAATTAATTTATTTGAGAGAGAGAGAGTAAGCAGGATGGGGTAGGAACAGAGAGGGAGGGAGAGAGATGAGTAAGGAATCTCAAGCAGACTGTGTACTCAACGCGGAGACCCATGCAAGGGCTCAGTCCTACAACCCTAAGATCATGACCCAAGCTGAAACCAAGCATCAGATGCCTAAATGACTGAGCCACCCAGGTACCCCTCTAGGATCACTTTTTACACTTTCTGTAAGCTTAATGCCAGTGCTGATTAACAACAACGAAAAAATTGGAAATGTCTCTTAGGTCTTCTATTTCCCTAGCCACCAATGTATATAACACCAGTACTGGGCCGCCTGATTGGCTCAGTTGATTAAGTGTCTGACTCTTGATCTCAGGGTCATTGTGTTCAAGCCCTGCACTGGGCTCCATGGTGGGCATGGAGACTACTTAAGAAAAAGAAAAAAAAGTACTAAAGACCTGGAGTACTGTAATACCCTCCTATATATCTCCTAAGCTCTTCCTACATTTTATATATCTCTGCAAGAGCAATTGTCCTTAAATTCCATTTTATTTCATATCACATTCCTCTACTTGAGTACCTTGGGTCCCTATGACTTTAGAGACCCCTGCCTATCCTCAAGGCCCTCTACCAGTTTATTACCTTCTTTCTTTTATCAACTTTGTTTTACTCTCACTACGACCTTTTGCTCAAGTTACAAAAATACCTTATTAGGCAACCAGTACAATTTAGCTATTCTCAGACTGTGTCTCCTACAATTCAAAAAGAGGGAAGAACGTGTTCCTAGTATACCAACAGACCTGAGTTTGAATAAGCTTTTTCTGTTGCCTTGCTGTGTGATATTGGGCAAATTACCTAGCTTCTCTGAGCTTTACTATCCTATTTGTAAAATTGGGATACTACTAGAACATCAGAGAGTTATTCCTCTTATTCCCTCCTTCAGTCTTTTTCACCAATAAGTGATTTTTATCTTCCTCAAAAACTAGCTGAAACCTAATGGTTTCTGGGAAGTGTTTAATATTAATCCATCCTATTCTGAGCTATAATACAAGATTGAAAGCAATAATTCTTTAATTTTTTTTTAGTAATCTCAGGGTATCATGATGCTCAGTGCTCAGAATATCGTGTCTGTTCATAAATGTTATTTTCTTATTGACCAAAGCTGGTTTTTCTTTTGGGAGCTTTTAAGCTGCTCCTGGAAGATGTGAACATGTTTTTAGGCTTTGGGGTGGGTAGTTGCTTTTTTTTTTAAGTCAGTCTTTTCTATTGAGCAAATCTTTAATCCAGTGCAGTGAAGGCTGCCTTTTTCAACTCTTCCTTTCTAGAAGATGTAGGCCTATAGAAGAATTTTAATATAAATGATACTTAATTATTATTTTCTTTACTAACTAGCACTAACCAACATGAGTTGTTAGAGAGAGGAAAGAGAATACCAACATCTGTCTGACCTCTGGGTTTCAGATTCCTAGACCTAGAGATTCAAACCAAGAAAGGGAAAGAATATACATGTGCAGGTGGCCAATCTGGAAGGAAGTCATTTTGAAGCAGGGGAGTTCATTTTATCTGCTATCAGTGTTTTAAGAATTTGCTCTCATAAATCACCATTTTACAAAATATTTAACCAGTGAAAATTCTAACACTGATACTATTACCGTGTCTGCTAGGTTCAGATCCTGGCTTTGTCATTAGGGTATAACTATGTGCAAATTCTAAAACCTTTTTGTGGACATATTTCTTTTTCTGTGGACAATACAGATAATAATAGTATCTTCTGTTACATAATATAATGCACATAATAAGTACTCAGTTAATGTTAGCATACTGGGTTTTGTCTTTTTCACTGCTGTATCTCCAACACCTAGCATATTTCCTAATACCCAGTCATTCAATAAAGATTTATTGCATGAATGTTGTAAGCCCATTCTTTAATATTTTACCTGCCTTTCCATTCCTAAGAAGACAGATATGCTCCTTATTTTCCAAATCTCCACTATGGATAAACAACACAAGCAATTACACTTGAAATAATATAAAATAATACTTAATCAAGCAGGACATGACCTATCTAACATAGAAAAAAATCATTCCACTGTCAATACTAATTTCCCATCTGGGAAATTATTAAACTGAACCACAACTAAGAATTCTATCCTAATGTTTTTTCCCTATTGTTTTGGAAAAAGTATTAGTCTAGAAATCCAGTCTCCACTGATTGATTAACTGAGTGACTTTAGTTGAACAATTCAAATATGTTTTTTAGCTCTCATTTTTCTTATCTGTAAAATGGAAGGGGCTATATAAGAAAATATATGAATTTCTGTCTAACCCCAAAACTCTATGTTTCTATGGCTAACTCAGTATTGATAATATATATTTATTTAGGGGAGGAACCTGAAATTCTCAGAAGACATAGCTTCTTTGATGACAACATATTGCTGAATTCCAGTGGTCCTTTAGCTGAACATAGTTCTGGAAGCCTCATTGGAGAAAAATCTCTGTTGTATGACAGTGGAGATGGATTTGGAGATGAAGGGGCTGCAGGAGAGATGATCGGTATGCTGTCTAACTATATAGAAGTTGGATATTTATTTCAATCATACTGTAATATATATTAATAGATTTATTAGATCAAACTAAAATTTCAGGTATGCCCCTGCATTTTTTACACAAGTTTTCAAAGTCTGTGATGTAGTTAAACATTTAGCGTAGGTCTAAGTGAATAGCCATCTAAGTACATTTTTCATATAGGATAGAAAATACTGCTTGTTTTTATTTTTACAAATTCCTAAGTTTTAAGGGGAAAGGAGTGGAGTTAATATACTCCTCACAAAATATATTAGATCATATATTAGAAACATTGTTTTCCTTAACAGAAATTGTGAAACAGCTATTCTAAAGTATTTTTCCAACATTTTATATTATAAATATATTTTATTATGATTATTATTATAAAATAATCATAGAAATAGGGTAGACAAAAGTTGGGAAATCTAAATACACATATTTTAAAGATACTGATGGCTATATAACAAGTCTTTTTTTAATTCTTGGTTTACTTTAAAAGGCTGGTTATGGCAAACTTTTTGAAATTTCAAAACTGAAGAAACAGTGGTTCTACCTTAGATCTCTAGCAAAGGGTTTTGAAAGCCTTAACTTCTTGATTTAAAATCTAAACATGGCTATGTAAGGTTACTATCTTGGTATTAGTTTAGTAAATATCTCCTGAAATTAAACATCTATTTAATAAAGGAAAGGAAGTGATATATATATAAAATTCTATATTATCCTGCTTAAAATGTGAGTCTATGTAACCAATCAAATCTATTTAAGTAGAGTTGATTCATTTTTGTAGCTCCTTACAATTCTTGTATACTATGTATGTTTTATGTGTATATACTATACACAGTATAGTATGTCAATAAATGTTTAGTGAACAAATGACAGATTCAACTCTGTATGACAAAAGTATTTATTGTGTTTTTCAAGATAATCTACTGCAAGATGATCAGAATATTCTGTTAGAAGACATGCATTTGAGCAGAGAAATTTGTCTGCCTCCTGAGCCTCCTGAAACTATAGCGGGTATGATGAAATCATCCTTTGTGTAGAAAGTGAACAGATAGGAATATTCAAATTAAGCCTTATAACTGTGCAGTCTAAGTAGCAATATAGTATAGTGAAAGATAATAAAGAATGTTGTCCCTCAAACTTCGAGTCTGACCCTAGACAATATGGAATAGAAAACTAGGCTCTGAGAAAGGTACAGCAGTGGTATTTAACCAGGATTGGGTTTATTTGGTATGAGAGCACATTTAAACACTCTGCCAAAATACTATGTTTTTGAATTATTAAATAATATTTTTACCTGTTCAAAACATCATTAATGTTTGACATTAATATGGCTATTGATTATTCATATTATTAATTATTAATACTATATTGACATTAATATAATTGGAAAATCCATATACCATTTGAGAAAAATTATAGATGTGGGGATATTTTCTACTTGAAATTCATGTGAAGGTCCTTCAAATTATTTGAAGTCTTTATGTCTGATTTTTCTTAAGAATTAAAACCATGAATAGCCCCATGTTGAGTCTTCACTCTTTTTGATGTTGCATTTCCCTCCTAACACAGAGTAGAAATTTAAAATGTGAAAGGAAAGGTGATACAAGTTTACTTAGGTTCTTTGTGGGTCAACTAATAATTATGTGATTTAACAGAATACAAGTTTTTTTTTTTTTTTAAGATTTTATTTATTTATTCATGCGAGACACAGAGAGACAGAGAGGCAGAGATACAGGCAGAGGGAGAAGCAAGCTCCACGCAGGGAGCCCAATGCAGAACTCAGTCCTGGGACCCCAGGATCATGCCCAGGCCGAAGGCAGGCACCAAACCACTGAGACACCCAGGGATCCCAGAATACAAGTTTTTTAGCAGACATATAATCAAATTTATATCAGTCATGTACTGTGGTTGCTACCACAGTATCTACTAAGTCCAACCTTAGATGTCACATGTGCAAAAGAAGGTGATGATACTTTATTCACTTAGACACTGGGCTCCAGACCATATAATCTCTTGTGTCTCTTCAACTATATTAAGTACATGATTCTAAAAATCAGATTTGGCTCCAGTTAGCATTATAAATCTTCAATTATCATTATCTTTTGCTTTTATTCTCATATAAGCATCTAGCTTACACATAACCTTTTTTATAAAAATTATTTTTATGGTGATGTTATTAGTGGAACCAGATAATCCAGAGTATATATGTCTACCTGAAAATGGAAAAATGGATGAAACCTCATTATCAACTGAAGAACAAGGATTTACCCTTGAACCAATTGATATTTCAGGTCAGACTCATTCGTGTTTTTGTTTTTGTTTTAAAGATTTCTTTATTTATTTATTTGAGAGCCGGGGGGTGGAGGGAGGGACTGAGGGAGAGGGAGACAGAGAATCTCAAGCAGACTCCCACTGAGGATGGAGCCCAACATGGGTCTCAATCTCACGACCCTGAGATCATGACCTGAGCTGAAATCCATAGAGTCAGCTGTTTAACTGACTAAGCCACCCAGGCTTAGTTGTTTTTACTTTAATGTAAATACAAACAATGCTTAGTTGTTTTAAAAAAACTTTGTTTTTATTTTTGATATACTACTATCTTATTTACCATGAGAAAATCTGTAAAATATTATAGGAGGTAGTCAACCCAGTAGTGACATTTGCAATACAAAAGGGAAAGAATGTGGAGGAAATTTGATGTGATCCTTTCATTGTAGTCAGTCCTGGTCAAACTATATACCCAGTTTGGGAAACTGGAAAATCTAAAATTGAGTTCAATGCCAGTAGTTACTGAATCATTACTCTCTGTTGGGCACAGAAATGAAGAAGACATAGTACCTGCTTTTAAGAGGCTCACAGTCTGATTGGGAAGATAGATAAACATGCAAATGAATATAAAGTAAGATGGAATAAAAGGATCAGAAGAGACACATATACCCTCTAACATTTAACCGCACACATATTTTTAGGAATAAAAGATAAATATGAATCTAATATAAACTTGACCTTGTAAGGACATCATACCTTTAGTAGGATAATTGATATGAATTTCAGTTATAAACTCAAGCATGCAAGAAACAAAGCATTCAAGTTTATTTCTTTATTGTATGCAACTCTGAGCTTCTATCTCACTGGTTTGGCAAAAATTTGAGTCTGTATAGTTCCCCTGTGTTCCTTAAGCCATGTAGCATCCATATTTGGGGGAGGGGTGTGGCAGGTGGAAAGTAAACTGTGGTCATCAGCCACAACAGTTTGTGGTACCCACTGTCCCAGCCTGAATAGCCTCTAGGGTCATCACACAGCCAGCCTTTCTGGAATCTTGTCATGTTCCCAGGATTTTACTAAGGCATATTAGCAGGCAGGTTACTCTTCCTTCTGGCTCCATCTGATCTTAGATCTTCACCCATTTTAGGAAATCTAACCCTCCCCCTTTATATCTTCATAAGGAAGAGCTTAACTTTTGTTTTTTACCTGGTAAATTTATTTAAAGGAGTAAAATCCCATGGGCCTAGTTACCTACTTGGAATTTGTATATGAATTTCAATGGAGGAGGGAATATCAATGGAGGAGAGAAAAATATACTGGAAAAATACAAATTAATGTTTAAAAATATCCTGTTATATGGATATTTTAGGGAACTTCAAAAAACTGAGCAACTTCACTCTCATTATATCCTCTGCTCCACATTTCCTCAGTTGTCTACCTGCTAGGTCAACAGTGTTCCTCCTAAGCACTTTGAAGGAACACTTTATAAAAGGCATCAACTGTTGGCTGTTCAAATACTGTACAGCTGTGCAAAAACCTTGTGAAGCATAATTTTTCAGTAGAGAGAAAGAGATTTTCTTCCCATGGCAATTCCGTAGGTTGCATTGTGGTAAACATGTCTTAGATATGCAGTGCCTAGAATATCATTTTACAGAGCTGTACAACCAATCACACTTATGCCTATTTCTTATATTTAGACATTGCTGAGAAAAGAAAAGGCAAAAAGAGAAAGTTGCTCATAGATCCAGTCAAAGAGATCAGTAGCAAAATTATGCATAAACAGCTTACTTGCTTTACCGACACACTCATGGTTTTGGAACTTGCTCCTCCTACCCAAAGATTGATGATGTGGAAGAAAAAGGGAGGAGTGGACACACTTCTGTCAACTGCTGCCCAGGATTTGACTCATGCTGAACTGAAGATGGTAATAGTTTCCATCTTTTTACATAGGTGCAGTGTTTGGTTATAAATAAATAAATACATATTTATATTCATATATACAACAGAATATAAACTTGTAAAAAAATACCCCTTTTCTTTTGAGTTAATTTGTTTGATATGTGTGCATGAATTATAGTTTTCACTTTAGCATTTGTGCTTATATTTTATTGAATTGTTTCACTTGTGCAAAAGCAAGAAATAAAAATGTATATTTTTGCAGTTGTTTACAAAATGCTTTCTGTCCTCTGGCTTTAAACTTGGAAGAAAATGGAAACAGAAGGAATCAGTAAGGGAAGAAGTAGGAAGTGAAAACATAATAGGTGAGACATACTAACTGTTGGTATTGAGGGGGATGTTGTAGAAACAAAATGTCATTTTACATTTCAAAATGAAGATGGGATCCAATTCCACATTCCCAAGTATAAATGCCATCTCTGTAAGAGTATTTCAACTTAAAAGAAATTTTTACATCAGCATTGCCATTTTTTGCTTTGCAGATTAATTTTTGTTCAACAAGCTACATTAAAAAGATGAAGTATATATACTATGTGGATCCTTCCTAATCTCTCTCCTTCCACCTCCCTGATCCATATAGGCAGTACTCATAAACCTTCAACAGATATAACTATTTTACCTAGTAGGGTAATGTTTCACTTTAAGACAGTTAACATGAGGGCAGCCCGGGTGGCTCAGCGGTTTAGCGCCACCTTCGGTCCAGGGCATGATCCTGGAGACCCAGTCCCACGCCAGGCTCCCTGCATGGAGCCTACTTCTCCCTCTGCCTGTGTCTCTGCCTCTCTCTCTCTCTCTCTCTCTCTCTCTCTCTCTCTCTCTCTCTCTCTCTCTCTTGTGTGTCTCTATGAATAAATAAAATCTTAAAAAAAAAGACAGCTAACATGAAAAGTCACCTAGTGATAAGAATAGCATTTAAACAATGCAATTAGCCTGAGACATAGATATTTCCATTCACCTGGAGGATACACAGAGTATTAATAATTGCTTATTATTGTGACTATTATAAAGGAATAATAAAGCCACCTTTGGTAGTGAGTGAATCTGTTTCCTGAGCACCTGTCCTAAAGGCATTAAATTCTGCTGAACAATACACCAAGATGGGCTTGAACTATCCATATTGTCTTGTAAGTGCTTGTGTGGGAGTGAGTGGGGAGGAGATAGTTGGTGGAGGATGTGAAGTGGAGACGATAAGAAGCAGACAAGGACAAAAAGAAGTTAAATATGTGAGACTTGAGAAACTATAAGAACGTTTGTACCCTTTGCCCAAATTCTTGGATTCCAAGTTTTCTGTTGGAAGCTTTCTTTTGTAATAACCATATCCCAAATTTAAGTTTGAAAGATATTTTGGTGAAATCATCTTTACTTCCTTAATAATTCAGAGACCTCCAAGATGGAAGAGCCAAATTCCCAGCAAGACTTAAATCAATCAAAAACTTGGAAGGATGTGGTTAATGGATCTAAGTGTAGTTCTCATGAAGATATCAATAAAAACTTTAATTCTGAGGTAAGTTAAAGAAAAATCACAAAAATATTATTTTTCTGACACAGAGTGAAGGAACCTTGAGACTTCCAGTATGTCTTCTTACATTTATAGTTTATATTTCATCTTATGTTATTCTGTAATTTGTTTAGTAGGTGGCAGTACTATGTAAAGCATCTACAGGACAGTATTTACTAGAAGTTTTGGATAGTAAATCACAAGATAAGTAGTTTCATACTGAAATATTTTACATAGTACATCAAATAAATGAATGTACTTGAATCTGATTATATTCTACTAGGCCCCACATTCAGTATATCATGGAACTTTTTAGGACTCTAGACAGTGCACCTATGTTGTTTCTGATCATAAATTCACTCTTCTCACCTCTAAGGCTGTGTTTTAGACCTACCTTAACCCTGAATTCAAAAGATTATCTAAAGACCCATGACTAAACAAAAATTTTAAAAATTTTATTTGAAGATGTAATTTTTATTAAAAAACATAATTATTTAAGAACATGGTTGGAAACAATGTGCTTTAAATTATTTTCCCCATTGTCATTTTGGTGGTTGTACAAATGTAAATATTATAGGCAAACCAGATAAAAATAAACTGGTGCTTTTCTGGTTTGTTTCACCATCACTGTATTCTGATAATTATTCAGGGAATTCAAAGTCAATCCACACTGGAAGTGAATGCCATTGGAAGGAAGGACAATTTCATAATGCATTAAAATAATGTATTTTACTATATATTTGATAGTACACTAGATATTGAGATACTGGGTTGCCAGTACTACTATCTTTCTTATTTGGGCTCAAGCATTTCTTAGAATGTACTTACTGAAAATTATGATAGATAAGCTTGTTTAGTTCATGATTTTTTTAACATATTATCAAAATAGATTTTCCCAAGTGCTTGAATTAAAGAGATTGACGTACAATTCTATTGACCCTCTTAACTCTATATTTATGCTTTAAGCTTCAATTCCATTCTTCTACTACTTCCAAAAATGGTGAACAGTTGTGAAATATAATCAGGAAAGGGAGCACATTGACAGGACAGAAAAATTTTGATTCTGATTAATCATTTTCAAATCTTTATAAAACATTTCTGTAAAGTAACTACAAAATTGAAAGTACCTAAAATGTAGAATATTCATAGAAATTAAAAGAGAAAAAACATAATTCTCAACAAATATGTAGATTAAAGAATAAAATGCAGCTCCTTATATTTACTAAAAATGTTAAACCTGAAATTAAAAATCAAGTAAGCTTTGTTGTAGGAAGTTCCTAACTTGAAGACTGGTTAAAGATGAAAAGGGGGCCGACACTTCTGTAACGATGAAAAAAGATGATAATAAGGAATGGAGAATTTCTTGCTTTCTCTTTTTCCTTTTTCCCTTATGCCTTTACTCCCCTTCCAGAGGGCACAGTTTTTCTTCCCTTTTGCCAGTGACAGCTCCAGCAGTGGTGGCAAGAATCTCATCATGGCTCTACATAAACATATTAATATCCCTTCCCCGACTTTCAGCACTGTTTAGAGTTCTCCCTCTGCCACCTGGTACTGGCATGAGGATAAAGGTAGGGGGTGGGGCTAGACAAAATGCTTCAAAAGAAAATGGTCTCAGTCACACAGCCATGAAGGTGTTTGATATGAGGTCTACAGTGGTGAAGGAAGTAGGAGAGGAAAAGATAGGCAGCCAAGAGGGTAAGGATGTGCCAGTTCTTCATTTGTGGGAGACCTATGGAAAACAGAGACTATCTGGGATAGTTCAGAAATAATATTTTGTGAATGCAGGTAACATTTTAAACTAGTTTTAGAAATGAGCATTTATGTGATTAAAGCATTTAACAAAATAAAATTGTTCCTGTGATTACTACTACTGTGACAACTTACCTGTCTTTCCCTAATTTGCTTTAGCAAGTTATTGTTGAACTGGTCTCTTCGGCTGCTGAAGAATCCTCTCTAATGAATGCTATGTTAGCACAAGAAATTGAGAATTGTCCAGTGGAGCTGGTAAATATATGCATAGTCTTGAGAATGTTCTTAAAAACTTTATTCCTAAATAGTTATCACTTTATTTATACCTAAAAATTGGTCTTAGAGCTATGGTGTTGCTTTCTAGAATTATTATTTAAATTAGTGATCTCAACAAAGAGATGTGTCAGTAGTTTGATAAAACGTACTCAGAATTGCTCTGACCTATTTTTCTTTCTTTAACTTCTTCTGAAACCTCTAATAATTTTAAAGAAAATTGTGAGATTTTTACGTTATCAAAGTTAGTCATAGGTTAAAAATACTGAGAATCACTATTTAATCTTATTACAGCTTTAAAGAAGCAGAGCTATAATAGAGCATCCTAGGGCATTTTAAATTTTACTTTATTTACAAAAAAAAAAAAAAAACAAGAAACAAAAACAAAACATGACATTTTTTCCCCCAAAACTTTGTATGGCTCAAGGTCTATATCTGTCCAAGATTTCTAGAAATCAGAAAAAGAAAGTCTACTCAAAGGGCCACAATTCAATAGCAAAGCCAGAAATGATATCTGACTCACCTGGCTCCATATGTATCATGTTCTTATTTCTCCAGTCCTTGTTCCACAGTGCTGAAAGCATTTTTAAGATTATAATGAATTTTAGCAAAATTTTCTTATTGAATAATGTCAAAATAGCTATTAATGCCAGATGCTAGTTTGTTCTTAAGTAAATTATCTTTATAATGAGTTCCAAGACTATTAGATTCCTTTTTCATATATAGAAAACAAACTGAATTCTCTGGACAATCTAGGACAGGATAGATACCTGAACTTTTTACCTGAAACATACAAACAGCTCAGCCAGAAGTGGGTTGATTCATTTTCGCCTCTTTGCTTCTGTAGACACAGGTTATTTTCATACATAGTCAAGCAAACCACAACACAGCACAAATTCAGCTGTTTTAATAATCCACTGGGCTTTCCACACAATGGATTCAGCTGTAGGATGCCCAGATAGATCAAGTAGATAGGCTTTAGCAGAGTGCACAGACTATTTTTTCTGAGCCTTTTCCTGGTTAGTTTAGTTGTGCAATTATAGGTCAAGCTGCAATCTCATGGATCTTTAACAAAGAGTTGGGCCATTGCTTTTTATATTTGAAAAACAGCATTTGTGTATTTAACAATATAATAAATGTTAGTAATTGGGTGAACTCATTTATCCCAGGGCAGACCAGAAAGAAATAAAAATAAATTGTGCCTGGAGGAATTTGGAAAACTCTTCAGAATAAAATGACCATATTTTCAGGTCATTCCCTTTGGAATTTAAGAGAGGAGGCTATCTAGGCAGGACCAGGAAGCCAGTATAGCTGGAGGAATGAGGTCTCAGCAGTCAGTCCCCTTAGCTTCAAATGATTCAAAATATTATGCAGAATATTCTGGAACTTTCTGAAATCATTTTGGAGTCTGTGAAATTAAAAACAGATAGGAGAGTCTGGGCTCCAAAGGTACATGTAAAGTGACACTTGACAAACAGTGCACCTGTGGTAAGGATGATTGTATGGTCAGAGCTAGCCTAAGAAAAATTATAAAGTAGGTCAGATCGGTGCCACCTTCCTCCCCTCCGCCCTCCCCTCACCCCCCACACTTTGTAGACTTGTTCTTTTGTCAGATTCATCAGCACCTTTCCTATGCCCGGTTCTGTTCTTAGCTCATAAAGTGTCAGTTGATAAGAACTTAGAGTGAGTTCCTGTGAAGGGATTTCAACTTGACAATTTTTAAATATTGAGGTGTTTCTGAAGGTGGCTAAATTTTAAAGACTGGAAAGAATGAATCTATTCAGATAATATGACAGGAAGTGGGTTGATCTTTTTTGGACAAGTTGCCCTTAAAATCGAAAAGGTTGTAACTCAATTGTACACAGATTGCCAAATATCACTTATTAATCTTCTGTATCACCAGGTAAGTTCAGATAAAGGCCTTTATAAGGCTGTTTTTCTATAGCTTTATGTTTATTTCTGTCAACCCAGTTCAAATTGACCAGAGCTAGGATAGTCCTAACCAAAAGTCACTGCCAATTTTACTTTTGAAATTAAGGACACAGGGCCCTTGGATGTACTACCAATAAAGACTGCAGAATCTCCTACTGGAGCCCCTCATTGCCTCGGTAGCTTATATATAATCCTGGAAAGATTGATCTATATTTGTATGTTTCCAATTCTCTCCTTTATCAGACTATATAAGCTCCTTATTTAGCAGTATCCAGTGTTATAATTGGGTTTCTTGTAGCAACTAACTCTATGCTTGGTAAATAGTAAGCATTTGGTAAAATTTGTTTAAAAGGAAATATTTTATCAATCATTCAAACAGGAGTCATCGGGGAATGAACAAAGTATTGATACAGAGAGATGGAATCGAAGAATCCTACAGATGTTAAATAGTTTGCGGGTAAGGTGGTAGGGTCTGTCAATCCTATTTTTGTTTTTAAAAATAAATAAAATTTTGGCTTCAATCTTCTAGACATTAATAAAAATGAAGACATCTTCGTTTTGTTGTTGTTGTTGTTGAGACCAAATTCCACTAGAAGGAAGTGATTTTGAGCACTGTACCCAGGGTAACTCTGGGAGTTTGTTGGTGCCTGTATATTCTAATCAACTTCTTACCTATACTCCTGCCCCTAAGACATCTAGTGTATGTCCCATTCTTGTCTTTAGCAAGCTATCAACTATATGGAACTAAGTTTATAATAATTTAAGAGTAAAAACAGATAATTGTAAAATTTAACTTATATTTTGGGCCATCTGGGTGGCTCAGTCAGTAAGTGTCTGAGTTTTGATTTTGGCTCAGGTCATGATCTCAAGGTAGATAGAGGACCCCATCAGGCTCTGTGCTGGGCATGGAACCTGCTTGGAATTCTTTCTCTCCCTCTCCCTCTCCCCCTTCCAATTTCCCCCTCACCCCCACTTTCACCCTCTCTCTCAAAAATTTAACTTCTATTTTTATCAAAATACATGTATATAATTTTAAAGTTCAGTAGTTCTATGTATAAGGCTGAGAAGGAAACACAGAAGTTTTATCCTACCTTCTTTATTCCTAAATCCTGCTCACCAGAGGCAATTACATTAAGCTGTTTCTTTTAGTATTTATGTCTATATTTCTTTTTTTAAGATTTTATTTATTTATTTGAGAGAGAGATAGCAAGAGAGAGCCAGAAAGAGCACAAGCATGAGGGAGAAGCAGACTCCTTGCTGAGCAGGGAGCCCAGTGTGGGGCTCAATCCCAGGACCCTGAGATCATTACCCAGGCCGAAGGCAAAGGCTTTAATCCACTGAACCACCCAGGTGCCCCTATATTTATATTTCTAATTTTATGTTCTTACTGTTCTTTCTTGATATTTCAGCTTTTAAGTTTTATCTGTTGACTTCTTTCAACATGAAATGAAAATTTAGTTTAGTTATAGCTTTGCTACTGCAGTCTGTTTTTAGTACAGTATTCAGTGTTTACAGTGTTAAAATAGTTATGATGCAGGTTTCATTTTGATAGCCAAAATATCAATTGTTTTAAAAAGATAAAGTATAATCTGGTATGACCACTATACTCACAAAGTTGTCAGACCTAGGTAGGTTACCTTTATCTCATTTTCTTTATTCTCAGGATCAAAAATGGTTAAGTACCCAACATGTCTGCATTCCATTCAGCAGCAAAATTTCTTTTAAGGGTACAACCAGAAATTCTTTGTATCACTTTTCACATTTCATTTGGCCCAGCACATAGTCACCGTGACGCATCTAGTTGGGAAATGTAGTCCTTATCTGGCAACCTTGGGCCCAGGTAATAATTCTGTTACTATAAAAGAATACAGGAATGGATATTAAGGGATAATCAGCTGTCACTGCTACCAAGACTATGCAAAAATTAGTGTAATTACATTTCTTGTCAACTTTATCATTTTTTTGTTGTTTTTTTCTTGGTTTCTTTTTTTTTCTTTTCTTTTTTTTCTTTTTTCTTTTTTTTTTGGTTAATCATGCCTTGTTTTTCCCATTTGCTTAGGGTCTATCTATATACTCATCCTTAATTCTTTTCTTAAATTCTCTGACAACATAATGAAACCCCTCTTAGGATGGTCAAATTGTGTCAATTGATTGATCAGTTTCAGTTTGTTTTCTTGAAGATACTCCTTCCAGAGCTCATCATCCTCTTGTTCTGATTAGACTAGCTACTCTCTAGGTCTTTTTCATATTTTTGTCCTGAGGCATTCCTTTATCATAACATGAAAATTCCTTTGTCTTTTTCCTATATTAGTTTCTCTATTTCTCAATGCTTTGATCTTCCTTTACCTTAAATATTTTGGTGGTTAACATCCTCTCATATAATTTCCTGAGATAAAGAGTACACTGGAAATCGTCACCCTATATACAGGTGTGAAAATTTCTTTATTTTACTTGTAACTTGATTGGATATCTCTGAACATAGTTTGAAAATAATATCTTTCAGATGTTGAAGGTTTTGTAACATATCTAGGCTTTTTGTATTGTTACTGAAAAGTTAGATGCTGCTTGGTTAGCAATCCTTTGTGGGTGACCTTGATTTTTTTCTCTAGAAACTTTTAGATCTTTATTTGTAGTGGTCTGAAATTTCATGATGATGTGTTTTGATATGGGTCTTTTTATTTATTGTGCTGAGCATGTAATGGGTTATTTATTCTGAAAGTTCATGTCCTTGAATTCTAGGAAACTTTATTGTATTTCTTAGATTTCTTCCTTGTTGTTAATCTGTTCTTTCTGGATTGCCTACAGGTCAAATGTTGGATCCCCTGAATTGCACCTTTAATTTTTAAAAAATCTTTTATCCCCTTATATTAATTCCCTTTGCCTTTTTATTTTTTTCTACTCCTTAGAAAATTTCTTCAACTTTACCTTCCAGTTTTTATTGAATTTTATTTCTGCTTTTACCTTTTTTGTCTTCCAGGAGTTTTTTCTTAGTTATTAATTGTTCTTTTATTTTGTAGCATTCTAATCTTTTCACTTATTTATTTAGTTTTTTAACAGCTTTTTGAGGTATTATTAAGATACAATAAACCACACCTATTTGAAGTATACAGTAGATAAGTTTTGACATTATGTATATACCTGTGAAACCATCACTACAATCAAATTAGTGAACATATATATCTACAACTCCAAAAAGTTTCCTTGTGCCTCTTGATCATTCTTTGTCCCATCTCTCCCACTGGTTTCCCTCCTCCCTCCTCAAGCAACCACTAATGTGCTTTCTTTCAATAATCATCCTTAACATGTTTTATGGATACAGGATCTTCTCTTTCATAAGTTAGAGTTTTCTTCTGGTCCTTGCGTTGTCTCTGTTTGCTTAGTGATTCTCTTGAATGTATTCTTTTTTTGGTCTTGAATGTTAGAAATTATACCCAAATGTCTGGTAGATCTTTGGTTATCTGTTCTTATTTAGGAGTGAGATAGCAAAGAAGTGCCTGAGTGGTGCAGTTGGTTGAGCACCCAACTGTTGGGTTTTGACTCAGGTCATGATCTCAAGGTTGTGAGATGAAGTCTCACCTTGGCTCTGTGCTCAGTAAGGAGTCTGCTTGAGATTCTTTCTTCCTCTGTCTCATGCTCTCCTACTCATGCTCTCTCTCTCTTTCTCTCAAATGAATAAATAAATCTTCAAAAAAAAGTGAGATAGCAAAAATCAGATTGGAAGTTATGTAAGCAAGGGTGGGCCTTGGAGACTTAGTCTTTATAGTGAGATAATCGGGTGGTAGCCCCCCACATCATACTTGCTCCCACACATGCACCATTATCTGTATCCCCTCCCTCCCCATGGTCCGTTTTCCCAGCTAAATCAAATCTATTGCCTAGGAGATATAAGCATGATGCTGGTGGTTTAGGAACTGAGAAGAGGGAGGAGAGATATTTGCTATCTCATTGTATAGTGTGTAGAATTTCACTTAACCCCCAGCTTGTGGTATGACACTTCACCATCCACAGTTGCCTGGCATTCCAATTCTAGAGTCTCAGTGGTTGGAAGCTCTAGAAAGGCAACCTTCTGCCTCCTGGTAGGGTATTGGAGTTGTGGTCTCCTGGTTCAGTAAAGTGGTGGAGTGGACCTGAGAGTGTAACTCCTCCCAAGCAGACTTTTGAGGAATTCTTGTCTCCATTTTATAACATACTATTGCCTGTAGTACCTGAGCTTTTCCAAGGTTCTATAGCTCACACTGGCTTGCTTTTTTGCTGTCTTTCTTCCTTGCTGGCAATTAGGTTTTAACTTTCTCTACTCTGCTAAGTCAGTCTGCCTTTCACTTTGTCTTTATCTCCTTCCTTTGTCACCTTTTATTCTTTTACCTTCATTTTATTTTATTTTATTTTAAAGATTTTATTTATTAATTCATGAGAGACACACACAGAAAGAGAGGCAGAGACACAGACAGAGGGAGAATCAGGCTCCATGCAGGGAGCCCGATGTGGGACTCGATCCTGGGTCTCCAGGATCACGACCCGAGCCAAAGGCAGACGCTCAACCGCTGAGCCACCCAGGTGTCCCTTACCTTCATTTTAGAGGAGTTTCTGGAGGGAACAGAATAAATAAGTGCGTGTGTTCACTCTTGCTTATTTGTCCCCTTGGGGTGTTTTTCAAAAGGGTTCTTGAAATTGAAAAGGCTGCCCCTTGAGGCGCCTGGATGGCTCCATAGGTTAAGTATCTGCCCTCAACTTCAGGTCCTAATCTCAGGGTCCTGATGTCAGGCTCCTGGGATCAAGCCCTGCATTGGGCTCCCTGCTCTGAAAGGATTCTGTTTCTCCCTCTCCCTCTGCCCCTTCCCCTGCTTGTGCTTTCTGTCTCTGAAATAAATAAAATCTTTTTTAAAAAAGAAAAGGGTGTCCCTCTTCTCTCCCAGGGGAAAAAGCCAGTCAATCACATCTTGTCTCCTCAAGAGGGATTAAGTAAAGGTTTGGCATGCCATCTCTGAAAGGCTGCTGGTACTGGTCCACTTCTTTTGTTGAGATAAAGTATGATAAACTAATTTATTAATTTGCTAAATATTGTGGACTAACCCAAAAAAAACCTGTATATGGTATTTCTAAAAATGCTTCACAGCTAAGCTATCAAAGGAGTAAGATGCTCAAGGGATAGTGGCCCATATTCATTACAGTATTTCTAACTAAAAAAAAAAACAACTATACTGCACTTCTATTCTAGAACTCTGATTCCAAGTACTAGGCTTCACAAAAGGAGTTATCTTCATCCATAATTAAATACTTTATTGCATCTCAATTTTTTCTAATGGGTTCATGGGTGCCTTAAGCTTAATCCAACATTTTTTTAATATGTGCCAAGAAACTGGGATATGTTTAGATTGTCATATTCCTCTACCACTAAGATATATAAATCTAATTTTACATTTATCACTATAGTTGTTTATAGTCAACCCCACCTCTCAGTACCTTTAAGGAAAAGAAGCTGATAATTTTCATTGTATTTGAAGCCTCTCAAACTCCTGTGGATTGTTTTCTGCCTGCAAGCGTAAAATAACTGCACTTTCCACAAGAGCCATTTATGTTAACATCAAATTTTAGATCTTGTCAAAGATCTAACATTTGTATAACACATCAGAAATTTGTATAACACTTTAGGAGTTCTTTTGCATGTATTTTCTCAATGAACCAAGCTTATACTCAATGACCTATAATGTTTTTTAAGTTTACTAATGAGTCATTTGCATTTTTCCATCTTAGGGTTTCACACTTATCAAAAATACCAGTATTTTATTTATTATGCATCCACGGTCTGCTGTACTTTTATTTTTTTTAAATATTGTATTTATTCATGAGAGAGAGAGACAATGGCAGAGACACAGGCAGAGGGAGAAGCAGGCCCCATGGAGGGACCCCAATGTGGGACTCGATCAGGGGACTGCAGGATCACGACCCTGGGCCGAGCCACCCAGGCATCCTCTGCTGTACTTTTAATGATGCTGTTTCTCTTTCCTTTCTTCTTTTCTGATTATTTTTCCAGGAATCCAACAGGATGGGAATGCAGTACTTTAGTCTGATGAAGCTCTGCAGAAATAGTGACCGGAAACAAGCTGCTGCCAAATTTTATAGCTTTCTTGTCCTAAAAAAACAGCAGGCTATTGAGCTGAGCCAGAGTGCTCCCTATGCAGATATTATAGCTACAGTGGGACCAATGTTCTATGAAATGTGAAGGAAATCGAGAACATGTAGATTTATGTAACCATTGGAATCTCTGTGTAGATTGTTCGATTTAATGCAGAAGCTGTCTGGAAGCAGCTAAAGGTCCGATCCGTTTCATCTATAGGCTGACTCCTATTTCCTCTTTGTAAATTCAGAATAATCATAGCCAGAATTGGAAACCTATATGCTTACAGAAAAACTTAATTGTAGCTAAGTAATATTTTTAACTTAGCTAACTTGAATGTATAGTATTTACCATTTCCCTAACTTGAATGTTGCATTTAGAATATGTTTTTAAAATACTATGCGCCTTCAAAAAACATTTAAGGATATTTTTAAAAGTCATTTTACATTGGATTGTTTACATAAATTTTACGAGACTAATTAACAATTAATACTTTCTTGCTTCCCCCCCCAACAGACAATAATTTATTTGATTCTACAATGCAAATAATCCTTGATTTGACCTACTGCCATGGTTTTTAATCTAATATCTGAATTGAAAGTTCTAAAATTCATCTTTGTTTTAAATTATTGTAGTCTATTTATAGTTCATTTAACATTTTTACTATTATTTAATGATTATTATAACTACCATTCATGTGTCAGCAAAATTAAATCTTCTTATGTTAAAAAATTAGTAGACACTTGTTTAGCATGTTGTCTGCAGCTACATTTCAAGTAAAGGTCATTAAAATAAATGTTCTTTTATTTAGTATTTACCAAGCATTTATTTTAAAGATTTTATTTATTCATTCATGAGAGACACAGAGAGAGAGACGGGCAGAGACACAGGCAGAGGGAGAAGCAGGCTTCATGCAGGGAGCCCAACGTGGGACTCTATCCCGGGTCTCCAGGATCACACCCTGGGCTGAAGGTGGCGCTAAACCGCTGAGCCACCCAGGCTGCCCTTTGCTAAGCATTTTTGACATTAAAACCATTGTTTTTCTTTTTTCTTAGTTGAAGGTTGAGTTAGGAAATTTTTATGGAATGCTCTGTGAGCTCCATAATATACTATAAAGTGAAGCCTATAGTACTTTCTTCAATCCTCGTGTATTTGGAATTATGCTGCAAACAAAATTCTAAATGGCCTCTTTAAATGTGTTAATTTATGTGATTGATATGTCAAAATAGCCTTTTTAAAATGTCTTTTATTTTTTGAAAGATACATGATTAAAAGTCGCCCCCCAAAAAAATCTTTTATTTTTTATATTAGCATAAAGAAAAACTGACTTTTTCATTTTGGCACACAGTTCTATGAATTTTAACACATATCTAAGATTCCTGTGCCCACCACTACAATCAGGATAGCAACAATTATATCACCCAAAAAAACTCTCTTGTGTTTTATCCCTTTGTAATCACTCCCTTGCCCATCCTAACTCCTGGCAACCACTCTTTTACATGACTATAGTTTTGTCTTTTTAAGAATGTCGTATAAAAAAAAAATGTCGTATAGATGGAATCAAATAATATGTCACCTTTTTGAGAACGGCTTCTTTCAATAATATAATGCCTTTGATATTTGTCTAAGTGGTTGCATGTTTATCAGTGGTTTGATACTATTTATTGCTGAATAGTATTCTGTTGTTTAGATATACCAGCGTTTATTCATTCATTTAGCCCCTGGAAGACATTGAAGTTGTTCCCAGTTTTTAACAATTATAAATGGAGCTGCTGTACACATATACTCATGTACAGTTTTGTGTAAGCATAAATTTATTTCTCTAGGGTAAATATCTAGGAGTAAGATTGCTGGGTCACATGGTAAGTGCATATTTAAGAAATGTTTAAGAATTAAAAAAAAAAAGAAATGTTTAAGAATTTCTTGGTAAGAAATTATCAAATCATTTTCCAGAGTGGATGTACCTTTTTGTACTCACACTAGCAGTATGAGAGTTACAACTGATGTTTTGTTACTTTCTAGTTTGAGATCATAGTGGGACTTCATGCCCTTTAAAAAAAATAATACAGAGGGCAGCCCGGGTGGCTCAGTGGTTTAGCACCACCTCCGGTCCAGGGTGTGATCCTGGAGACCCAGGATCGAGTCCCATGTTGGGCTTCCTGTGTCTCTCATTAATAAGTAAATAAAATCTTTAAAGAAAAATAATAATAATACAGAAAGATCACCCTTCACCCAGTTGCATAATTATAGTACAATAATTGCATAATTATAGTACAGTGTCACAGGAAATTGACATTGATACAGTCTGTTCACCTTACTCATATTTCACCAGTTTTACATGCACTCATTTGTGTGTATTTAGTTCTATGCAATGTTATTGCATATGTTGCTCCATGTGACTCTCACCCACCAGTCAAGAAACAGAATAGTTTCATCACAAAAAACATTCATCATACCCTTTTGAAGCCACAGCCACCTGTTTCTGTACCCTCTTCATTAGTTTCTGGCAACCACTAATCTGTTCTCCATCTCTATAATTTTATCATTCATACAATTTTGTGGATTAATTTTGTATTCTGTGACCTCGCTAAACTTAAAAACTAGTCCAAGAGTTTGTTTTTTGTAGATTCCTTGGGATTTTCTTTAGGCACTCATGTCACAAAGAAGGACAGTTTCATTTCTTCCTTGTCAGTCTGTTCACAATATGAGGAGGAGGAAAGCATTCATCTTCACCATTCTGTATATTAGCTATAGCTGGTTTGTGGGGGAGGAATAATTTTTGTCAGGTTGAGAATATTCCTTTCTATTCTTAGTTTGCTGAGAGTTGGGTTGTGTGTGTGTGTGTGTGTGTGTGTGCGCGCGCGCACGCGCGAATGGATGTTGAATTTTGTTAAACACCTTTTCTGATTGTTTCATGAGGTTTTTCTTTACACAGTTAATATGGTGGATTACACCAATTGATTTTTGAACTTTTAAGCAGTTTTGCATTTCTAGGATAAATTCTACTTGGCTATGATGTATCTCTGGATTCTATTTGCTAATTTATTTTAACAGCTTTATTGAGACATATTTACATACCATAGAATTCACCCCTTTTAAAGTATTCGCTTCATGTTTTCAGTATAGTCACAGTGTTATGCAACTATTACCATTATTTAATTTTAGAACATTTTCATCACTCAAAAAGAAACCCCATACTTATTATAATCACTCCTCACTCCCATTTCCCCACAACTCCAGGCAACTACTAATGCATTTTTTGACTCCCATATGGTCTTTTGTGTCTGGCTTTTTTTCACTTAGCATAACATTTTTAGGGTTTATCCACGTTGTAGAATGTATCTGTATTTTATTCTGTTTAATGGCCAAATTAATATTTCATTATATGGATATCCATTTGGTTTATCCATTCGTCAGTTGGTAGACATGTGGTTGTTCCTACTTTTTGACCATTATAATAGAATAATGCTGCTGTGAACATTAGTATTTAAGTTTTTGTGTATGTGTATTTTCATCTTTCTTGGATATATACATAGGAGTGGAATTGCTGGGTCATATGGTAACTCTATGTTTAACTTTTTGAGGAACTATCAAGCTGTCTTCCAAAGTAGCTGCACCATTTTACTCTTCTATCAGTAATGTATGAGAGTTCTAATTTCTTTGCATCATTGTCAGTGTTTGTTATTGTCACTTTTTAAAATTATAGCTATTTTAGTACACATAAATAAATAAATAAACAAATAAATAAATTATTAATTATACCTATCTTAGTGAATGTGAAATGATAACTCAGTTTTGATTTGCATTTTTCTAATAATGAACGATGGTGAGTATGTTTTCATATGGATTTTCTAGTATTTTGTTTGGGATTTTGTTTTGTGTGTTCATGATGGATATTGGTTCATGAGGGTAATTTGAATTATATTATTTTTTTTCTGGTTTTGGTATTAGGGTAATACTGGCTTCATAAAATAACTTGGAAAGTGTTTCCACCTCTTTTATTTTTCTGGAAGAGACTTTGTAGAATTAGTGTTATTTCTTTTTTAAATGTTTGGTAGAATTCACACATGAAACTATCTGAATCTGAAGATTTATATTTAGGAAGGTTTTAAACTATGAATTCCATTTTTAAAATCGATATAGGGCTATTCAGTTATCTATTTCATTTTGAGTGACTTTTGGTAGTTTCCAGTTTTCAAGGAATTGTCCTATTTCATCTAAACTGGTGTTATGTATGTGGAGTTGTTTGGAGTATTCCCTTATTATCCTTTTAACATCTTCAAGGTCCACAGTAGTAACCCCTCTTTCATTCCAGATACTGTTAATCTGTGTCTTCTCTCTTTTTTTCTTTTCAGTCATTCTAGAGATTTATTAATTTTATTGGTCTTTTCAAAGAACCAGCTTTTGGTTTCATTGCTCTTTTTCTTTTTTCAATTTCATTAATTTTTGCTCTGACATTTCCTTCCTTTGGCTTGCTTTGAGTTTGTTTTGCTAAAATGGAAGCTTAATTGATTTGAGACCATTCTTTTCTAATTTAAACTCTTAATGCTATGTATTCCCCTTCAAGTACTGCTTTAGCTGCATTGCATACATTTTGATACATTATATTTTCACTTTTGTTTAGTTCAAAATATTTTCTAATTTCTTTTGAGACTTCTTTTTGACCTGTAGATTATTTAGAAGGATACTGTTTAATTTCCAAAGGATATTTTCCTGTTATCTTTCTAGAGTTCATTTCTGGTCTTAGTCCAGAGAACATATTTTAAATGAGTCTGATTCTTTGAATTTGTTAAGACCCAGTATAGGGTCTGTCTTGGTGGATGTTCCATGGCACTTGAAAAGAATATATTCTGCAGTTGTTGAATGAAGTGTTCTATAAATGTTGATTGGACCTAGTTGATTGACAGTGCTCTTCACTTTTCCTTATCCTTGCTTATTTTCTGTCTACTCATTCTAATGATTACTGAGAAAAGAGTATTCATCTCTGCAGCTGTAATCATGAATCTGTATATTTCTCCTTTCAGTTCTGACAGCTTTTGCTTCATGTATTTTGAAGTTCTTTTATTAGGGGCATGCACGTTAATAATTATGCCTTCCTGGTAAGTGACCTTTTTATTTTTGTATAATAATTCTCTTTATCCCTGGTAATTTTCTTTGCTCTGAAAGTCTACTTTTTCTCATCTTAAGCCATTCCAGGTTTCTCTTGATTAGTGATCACATGGCATGTGTGTGTATATATATATATATTTTTGGTATGTATATATCTAACTTTTAATTTACCTATATAATTATATTTAATTTTTTTATTTATTTATGAGAGAGAGAGAGAGAGAGAGGCAGAGACATAGGCAGAGGGAAAAGCAGGCTCCATGCACCGGGAGCCCGATGTGGGATTCGATCCCGGGTCTCCAGGATCGCGCCCTGGGCCAAAGGCAGGTGCCAAACCGCTGCGCCACCCAGGGATCCCTATATAATTATATTTAAAGTGAATTTTTTATAGGGATGCCTGGGTAGCTCAGCGGTTGAACATCTGCCTTTGGCTCAGGGCATGACCCCAGGGTCTGGGGATCAAGTCCTGCATTGGGCTTCCTGTGGGGGGTCTGCTTCTCCCTCTGCCTGTGTCTCTGCCTCTCTCTGTGTGTCTCTCATGAATAAATAAATAAAATCTTTTTTAAAAAGTGAGGTTTTTATAGACAGCATCTATTTAAGTCATTTTTATTCATTCTGATCATCTCTTATAATTGGTGTATCTAAACCATTTTTTTAAAAAGATTTCATTTATTTGAGAGAGAGAGAGAGAACGAGAGAGCATGAGCCAGGGGCAGAGGCAAAGGGAGAGGCAGACACCTCTGGGCTCCAGGATCATGACCCAAACCCAAGGTAGACACACCTAAGCAGCTGCCACCCAGGTGCCCCTCAACCATTTATTTTTAATGTAATATTTGATATGTTTGGATATAGATCTACTATTTTATTATTTGTTTACTGTTCTCCCTATTTTTCATTTCTCTGTTCCTCCTTTCTTGCCTTGTTTTTGAATATTTGAACATACTTTAGAATTACATTTTAATTTACCTGTTTTTTTTTCACTACATCTTTTGTTAGAGATATTTTTTAAGGATCTCTAAGAACTACAATATATATACTTAGCTTTTCACACCCTACTTAGAATTGATATTTTATTACTTTAAGTGGAGGGTAGAAACCTTGCATCATAAAATTTCCTTTACACTCACTTCCTTATAATGCAATTGTCTTACCTACATATATTGTAACCCCACCAGACTGTGTTAGGATTTCTGCTTTCAACTGTCAAACTTATTGAAACTTCTTCAAAGAATTCAAGAGGAGAAAAATAGTCTATAAAATTTACCCAGATATTTACCATTTTTATTGTTCTTTTCTTCCTTATATTCCACGTTTCCTTCTAATATCATTTCCCTTCTATCTGAAGAATTTTCTTCAGCAGTTCCTTCAGAGCAGGTCTGCTGACAATGAATTCTTTTAGTTTTAGTCTGAGAGTGTCTTTATTTTTTTTTAAATTTTTTTATTTATTTATGTATGATAGTCACAGAGAGAGAGAGAGAGAGAGAGAGAGAGAGGCAGAGACACAGGCAGAGGGAGAAGCAGGCTCCATGCACCGGGAGCCCGACGCGGGACTCGATCCCGGGTCTCCAGGATCGCGCCCTGGGCCAAAGGCAGGCGCCAAACCGCTGCGCCACCCAGGGATCCCTGAGAGTGTCTTTATATCACCTTTATTCCTGAAGGATAATTTTGCTGGATATGGTTGACTGATCTTTTCTTTCAGCAATTTAAAAATTTTGTTCCATTTTTTTCTTGCCATCTGTGGTTTTGTTTATTCATGAGAGACAGAGAGAGAGAGAGAGAGAGAGAGAGAGAGAGAGAGAGAGAGAGGCAGAGACATAGGCAGAGGAAGAAGCAGGCTCCCTGTGGGGGACTCGATCCCAGATCCTGGGATCATGACCTGGGCCAAAGGCAGGTGCCCTGCCATCTGTAGTTTTGGTTGAGGAATCCAGTTATTCAAATCATTCTTCCTGTATAATTAATACATCATTTTTCTCTGATTCCTTTCAGGATTTTTTTCCTTATGTTTTTAAAAGTAACTGAAAATATATGATGATGATGATGATGATGATGATGATGATGTTTCTCCTCTTTGGGACTCACCAGGAAGCTGGAGTGTGGAGTTTTATTTACTCTTCTGTTTTGTTAGCTTCTTCCCACAATTGCACCACCAATGGTGGGAGGACAGAAGGAGACAAAAAACATTAGAGGTTCACCCTCTCTCAGAACCACAGTTACTTTGATTGGAGAAGTCTTTCCTCCCTCAGTTTGAGACACATGAGTCCCTGTTGTCCTAGCCTCCACTGCAGTATTGCCTGAGAGCTGGGTTGTGAGACAATGGAGAAAAGATTAAAAAAGAAAATTATTTCCCCCCCACTCTCACCCTGAGCATAAAGGGTCCCCTTTCCTGACCCTCAGGACAGAACTAGATTGCTGCTTTGAGAACTCTTTCTGTGTTGATCCCCCGATTCCAGATTTGGGCTGCCTTGAGACTAGGCCAGGGGATACCAGAGGAAACAAAAATTGTATATTTGCTAGTTTACTAGGCCAGAAAATTCTGGTCTTCTTCCCTAGTTTGCCTGTTAGTATTTTCTCTTCAGACTCCTCACGTAGCCGCTACTTGTTCAGATTTTCTTGCTGCATTCGGTGGGAGGAGTGTTTACCCAGAATTGGAACCAAAATTGTCTTTGAAACTAAGCAAATTTAAGTATCTCCCAATTAGTACAAAACAAAACTACTGATTTCTTTAGAATAATCTGATTTATGCTTAAAATCCTTGTTTTCTTGTAATTTACATCATAACTAAATACTGGCTCTCTTCATCATATGCTTTATGATGCTGAAGAGAGAATTCTTTCCAAGCTAACACCATCCCAGATGGAAGTAATGTGGGTGGAGGTGCTCTCTCTTGATTGGGGGAAGTTCCTTGTTGGGATTTCTGGGAAATGTAGTCTTCTGAGCATCAAGCCAAAAAAAAAAAAAAACACATACACACACACAACAACAATAAAACCAAAACTATGGTACAGACAAAATTTTTTTTAAAATTTTAAATGAGGATCTTAGAAATTACCTCCTGATAAGAAAACTAATTGCGTGGCTTCCTTTGGTTTTGCTTCAAATGCAAAGAAATCACTTACATAATTTAAGTGGGCCTTAGGGCAGATAGAGCATCTTATCGATTAACTTGCTAATACAGCATTAATTTTTTTTAGACAGCAGACCTTATTTCACATGGCTTTTTCAACTACAATTTCCTATTCCTGCTACAGTTGTCCTGCCACGTTTTTCCACAAAGCATAATGTAATGATGGCTATCTGATAAAAAAAAATTTCAATTTAATAGAATAGTGGGGAAAACAACCAACACTAAAAATATTTATAGGCATAAGTTTCAAATTATAGGCATTGTTACAGAGTGGTAGATTTACCACAAATTCCAGCCACAGGAAAAGATTTAACTTTGAAAAGGAACAGTAAATATAAAGTGTTTTTTTTTCCCCCGTACTTTATAAGTACTATTTCTCACCAGGCTAGTACTGCAGAGTCATGATATAAACTTGGTAAAATCACTTTATAAATTCTTCTCCCTCAGTTTAGGTGGAGGATATAAGGTACCAGGTTCAGTCTCTACAAAAGTAGACAGAGACTTAAGGATGTAAGAGCTTTGATGACCAGGATGGCATCTGGCCTTGTGTTCTTATGGAAGACTGGCACAATGTATGCTTGCTCTCTCATTCACTTAGTTAGTAGTTACTGAGCACCTGATATGTGTCAGGCACTACTCTAGGTACTGGAAATATAGCAGGGGAAGTACAAAGTTCCTTCCCTCATAGAGTACATTCTAGTAGGGGTGACAATGAAGGACAAACAAGTAGTATATATACAATATGTCAACTAGAAATACAGCAAAACTAGGGTAAAGGGAGTAGGGGAAGAGGAAATTACTGTGTTATGTAGGGTGGTCAAGGAAGGCCTCCCTGAGACAGTGACATTTGAGCAGAGATCTGAAAAAGTGAGAGATGGTTTTGAGGCAAAGGAATAACTAACCAGAAGGGCTGCTGCAAAAAGAGGGAGCCCTCTCTGTTGCACCCCGCTTCTCACATATGGAGCAGATAAGAAACAGGTCCAGAGAGCTAGTTAACTTACCTAAAGCTACATGGCTAGAAGTGGAAGGGATAGGCAGAGAAGCCACTTTTCTGGACTCTTTGTTCTTGTTTCCCCTGCATTAGCAGATGGAAAACAGAGGGAACAGGTGTATAAAGAACATTTAATTTAGGTTGTGATTATCTCTCCGTGTTTTCAAAGTTTCGCCATCTTAATACTTCAAAGACAAACGTTTTCGTTTTCAGTTATTTCAGATTCTTGCCATCATTTTTCTTCGTAATGCAGATACTTATTCACATTAAATAAGTAACCCTGGTACTCAGAAGTGAAGAATGTTCCTGATGGAATTCAAATGATGTTAGTATTTAACAAAAGCCGGCAGTGTGCCAGGAAGTGAGATTGGTATCATCAACCCATGTTACAGATGAGAAAGCTGAGGCCCAGGGAGGTCAAAGGACTTGCCCAGGATCCCACAGTCTGTCAGTGGACAATGCGCTTTCCTCCATCAGCTGCTGCCCAGCTCTAAGCACAGGCGGGCATGTAGGTGCGAGAGGACCCCACCCAGTGCTTGCTCGGCTCCCGCGCCCTCTGGAGCAAGATGCCAACTATCTCTTTAAGAAGGAAAGTGAAGACGGGCCGCTTACGCAGCTGCCAGCGAGCCGCCCACTGGCTGGTCCCTTCCATCCACCTCATCCTCCCGTCCCCTCCCTCCCGGCAGCCCCAGCCCTGGCGAGCCGCCTCCAGCAGGGGCTCCGGAGAGCTGGTCGGCGGCCTGGGCAGGGCAGCCGAAGCCATGGAAGCCTCCGCAGGTGATGACGGGGACCCCCGGGGACCTCCGGACCCGCCACCCAGCTGCACCCGCCGCAGTCGCGAGTGCCGGGTGCGGGTGGGGGGAGGGGAGGCGCGGGCCGCGCCGGGGAGCTGACCGGACCCGGCGCCCAGCAGGCAGCCTGCCCCCCGGGCTTTCTGGCTGCGGCGACCCAGCTGTCAGCTGCTGGGGGCTCGGCCGCCCGGCGTCCCCGCCCGCGTTCACCAGCCCCTGCCTGTGTGTGTTCCCCCACCGCCGCAGGTTGCTGATCCGGGCCAGACAGCTGCAGCCGCGACTGCAGAGGCGCTGCGCCAAGCGGGGCCGGAGCCGTGCGAGCCGGCAGGCTGCGGAGCGCCGGTGGACACAGGTGAGGAGGCCGCGGCCGAGCCCGCAGGGGGCCCCGCGCGGCACCGGGCCGGCGGACGGGCTGACGGGCGGGGGGCGCTGGCGACCGCGCGCTGCGGTGGAATCCCCGCGAGGGCACCGGCCGAGGAGGGGTTAACTGTGACTCATTCTCACCCTCCCTTCATTCCCCCCCCCCCGCCCCCAAACCGTGAAAATCACTAATTACAGGATGCTGATTGCGGCAGGGAAGATGCTCTAGGTGGGCGATTAGGAGAGGTTTAGGGACCAGCCCGTTCCTAAATGCCTTCCTCTTCCCGCATTTGGCAAATATTGGAGCCTCTTTCGTTTTCTGAGGAGGAGTAAGGGTACCTAGGGGTGGGAGAGGGGTGGAACCCCACACCCAACCCAAGGTCAAATGCCAGTGACTGCTTCTTTACCACATCCCCCCCTGAGAAGCATCAGGGCCCTACAGTAGATCTGGAAAAATATGCCACGACCCCTGCAGTGGAAGACCCGAGCCTCCATCCCTTGGACCTTCCATGGGATAAGATGCTTCCTCCCTCGGCTCCCCAGCAGAGCACCTACTAGCCCGGGGAGCCCCATATTCCCTTCCTCCACCCTGCTGGCTGGGGGGAGGCCTGGCTGCACAGCTGCCCATTTCCTCTGCCCTCCCTGCCCATCTGGTGGTGTGGGGTGGGCTGGAGGAGCTTATCAGGGAAGGGTGATCTCTGCAGGCAGAGTGGTGTATGCAAAGTGCCAGGGATTGGGGTTCTAGTCTCTTAGCTTGCTAGTAGGCCACCAGTAGCCATCTTAAAATCCTTTAGGCGTGGGTGTCTGTCTGTTCATCCGTTAAATGCAGGAGTTGGATTCGGTGGTCTGTAGAGTTGTGATATGCCACTCACGCAGCACTTTACATGTCAGGGAGACCCCTCTACTAAAGTAACCCAGAATTTAAACTTGGGTTTATGAAATAATTGGGGTTTCCTCAGTTGGTCTCTTTCAACTCTGGACTCCTCTAGTGAAACATGACCTTGTGAGTCTCATGGAACAGGAGGCATCAGACAGTCCTGTAGTGACATCCTTACGCCGTCACTGGGGTGACCTTCGTGGGGTTGCTTCCCATCCCCAAGCTTCAATTTCCTCATCTGTAAATCTGGGAAGAGGCAGGCATGCCTCAGGGGATTGAGAGATGATTAAATGAGATCTATAGGGAAGCACCTTAAAACAGTGCCTGTGCCCAATACATGGTAGGTGTTCAGGGACGCAGGACTTGAGAGAGAGACTGGGGGAAGAGAGGAAGAGTGGCTGCTTTTAGCCTCTTCTCCTCCCCACCCCCACCCTACCAATCTCTTCCATGTCCCTGCGGATGGCATCCCTGCCAGGGGATAATGAATGCTGGAGTATGTTGGGCTGAGGCCTAGGAAGCAACCAGGAGGTACAAATGTTTCCACTCCTAGGGGTGTGACATCATTCTAGCGAATGATGGTCCCAAGGAGGCATGTGTAGCCCAGCACTGGGTTTGGAAAATCTTGGCATCTGAGGGCAAAATCCCTAAGGGAAGAGAAGCGTCGAAATCTTGTGTACTGGCAGGGATCAGGGGCCAAGGCCTCCTGATCCTGTATGGGGCCTCCTGCTGCTCCCCTGCCCTCCCTGGAATCTCCCACTAGAATCTCCCTGAGACAGGGAATCAAGTGTTTGATGTCTGTATCTTCTATTCTTTATCTTCCCCCTGCTGTTCTTTCAGCCTAGCACTCACCGTTTCTTCCTCCAATGTATTCCACAGATACACTCTGTCTCCTGACAGCATGATAAAGAAGGCTCCCAATAGGCTTGGGCTATTTTGCTGCTGCATCATTTGGGCCAAATGGAGTTATGTCCCCACCTCCCCTAAATCCCCATTAGATTGTGAGCAACTCCTTGTGGAGACCTGGTCTTTTTCCTCTGTCTCCAACCCCTAGCCTGTGGCTAGGCACAAAGTAGGTGTTCAGTAAGTGTTGGATATGTTTGAAGAAGTTATGCCCCTAAGCTAACTAGGTTAGGGTGAAACTTCAGGAATGTGTTGACAGTTGTAGGAAAAGCACTGTTGAGCACAGGGCACTATACAGGTTGCTGGTTGCCATTAATCACTATTACTAAAAGTGTTATTAGTGCTGTTGCCAGTAGCCAGCAGTTGGTTTACCTTCTTTGCAAGACAGGCTGGAAGGAGCTCAGTGTCCCTGGGAGAAGGCTGACATTGACAAACAGATGGTGCTGACTGGTTTAAGATGAACGTGAAGGGAAAAGGATTGGGAAGAACATAATTCCAGCCCCTTGCCGTGCTTGGGGGTGTTCAGGTGGGGGAGGGGGATGAGGAGAATCAAGTGGGCCAAAGTGAACAGGCAGCAGAAAACCTGGAGATCCAGGCCCCAGGTCTCACTCTACCCCCACCCCATTGTGTGACCTTGGGCCAGTCATGACCTCTGGGTCCCCACCCATAAGATGACAGGACTGGACTACTTGATCCCTAAGGCCCCCTTCTGGTTCTGACATTTTGTCAAATAAAAATGGGACAGGTATTATTACTCTTAGTATCATCTGTGGAATACCAGGCCATTACCTACCTCAGGTGATCCTCATAACAAATTATACCTATTTGAAAGATGAGGAGTGCAATGCTGAGAGAGATTGACTTGCCTGCAGTTGCACAGCAAGGAAGGGCAGCATGTTATCTGATAGCAAGTCTGTCTGACCCAGAACAGCATGCTCTTCCAAAGGTTTCACTCCCCCTCACCCCAACATACCTCGCTGTCATCACTGTGAATTGTGTGTACTCTTCTGCACACGCTTCGGGGTTAGAAGAAGGGAAAGCAGTGAAGGGTTCATGACCAGAGATCAGGCATTTCCCCAAAGTGATGACTGCAGGGGACTTGCTGGGTTGAAGAGCGTGTAAGTCAGGGCTGTGAAGGGTTCCTTTCGCTGTGAGCCCTGCTTTGCCGATGGGTGGTGGGGGCCCTTTCACTACTCACCCTGAACGACAGTCATGACAGACACGCATTTTGTGTGCTCTCTATTTGCTGTGCTCTGTTTTATTTATTCCTGAGATAATCATGTTATGACTTTTACCCATTTCACAAGAGAGAAAGCCAGGGCAGAGAGTTACACAGCTAATGTGTTACAAGCTGAGAAGATTTAGCTGGAAGCCCGCTGTGCTGGGAGTCAACAGGGTTACTTCTAGCCTGGGCTGTCTTGTTAACTGAGTAACATTAGGTAAGCCAGTTTCCCTCTGAAAGTTGGCATTTCCATCCTGCAGATAAACTGGGTGCATCTACTGGCGTTAAGAGACCTAGTGCCACTTTGTCCCAGAATAGGGGGAAGGAATTCCTTGTCTAGCCAAATGTTGATTAGCATTTGTTTATTATTTCTCAGTCAGGCCCTGGGTTAAGTGCATGGGGATACAGGAAAGAGTAAGAGGTGACCCCTAGTTTTAAGAAACTAATGTCTAAGCAGGAGACAAACATCTAAACATGTAGGTATGACAAACCATCCAGGAGCTGTGATGCATACTGATGACAGTGTGTAATGGCAGGTCAGAGAGGAGAGATGATCTTTCCTACTCAGTGGGCCAGGAAGGCTTTAGAGAGATGACGCCATTGTCATGTCCTTGTTTTCTGAATTGAGTTTATGAATCACCGTCATCATCATCATCCACCCAGCTTAGGACATTTTTCCAAACTGTTCTAAAGATTTGTTGGCTTTCAACCCCAGCAACACAAAAAGTAGCCACAGAGTCTGAGGGACCATTCAAGCTCACTCTGGCACAGCTCTAATGGAATAATCCATTTGTCCCAGGCGGATGAGAACCTTTCCTGTCTTTAGAGGCTTCTAGAGGCAAGACTCTGAAATTCCTCTTGGAAAGCCTATTTAGTGCCAGATAACCAAGCCAACAGGCTTGGGGAATTCTTCATCTCTATTCTCAGCATCCCACCTGTCTGGAGCACCTGATATCTGGAGAGGTGAAAGCATTTACCCAAGATTACTCGGCAAGGCTGAGATCATAACTCTGGCCTAATTGGAAATGTATTCCTGAGACATATGGGGTCTTTCTGCATCCAGGTCACCAGAGGCTGGAGGGCCATTTCTTCACTTAATGGGCAGTTCACACTGAGTGAAGGTTTGATGTAGGTAATATGCAGCCAGAGCAGAGGGCCCATAGAGAAGAGGAGGCCTGTGTTCTCCAGGCTGCTCTGCCCCTCCTAATGGACAGACATTCATGCAGCATTTGTCACGTGCTCAGCACTGTCCTCTAAATCGAGGTACTGAGCCAACCAGAAAGGAGAGTCTGGGAAGCAGCCTGGCAAAGTGGAAAAGGCCAGCACCCAGGTATCAGGAGACTTGGGTCCTCAGCTCTGGTCTGCCCTCAACTCCCTATGTGGCCTGAGGCTATGCCCTTGGCTTAGCCACAAACAAACTGACAGGCAGAGGCAGGGGTCTCTAAGGGCCCTTCAAGTACTGACTGGCCGACTCTTTCTTCTGTTCTATGAGCTCTCTGGGGGCTGTGCAAGTGTGTAGGATACACATAACTGTAACTTGAGGAGGAATGAGAGAAATATGACAAGAGGGAACAAATGCTCTGTGGGTTTGCTGGAGGGAGGGGGCTTGGGGAACACTCAGTTCAAAAGCCACCTCTTCAAAGGTAAGATGAGGTGCAGACAGAAGTGGTTTAGGACTTTGTTTTGTTTTGTTTTTGAACCAGGAGAAATAGCAAAAGCATACTGTTATTCTGGGGCTGAGAGGCTACATATCAGAGCAGTGGTTCTCGGGCTTAGATTTCAAAGATCGGTACATTTAGGAATCTATCCTAGGTTTGCCAACTTTTTATTTTGACAGATAAGGACACTCAAATGACACTTAAACAGACTTTTGTTTACTATCACTGCCATATAGTGAGAGAAAGAGCATTTTAGCATCTATATCCCCAAAGCAAGAACATCAGAAAAAGGGTACTTTTTCAAATTAAATGCATTTTGCTTTATTAAAAGCCCT